GCTCGGCTCGGTTCATTAAGAGAACGAGCCGAGCTCAAGCGAGTCGAGCAGCCGAGCGCTCATTAGACTCACCGAGCTTCGAGCTTTTTGTCCAGCCCTAAATGGAGGGAGTAGAAGGCATGGTGAATTTGCAAGAGCAAACTAATAACATTGAAATTTCTCACTCAAGTTCCCCAGAAATGAGCTACAACGTCATCTCAAACTGTACAAGAAACCCCTAACCAAAGCTAGCTAGGCAATTATCAAAATCCTACTCATTTTCCTTTCACATATCATCTCCTGATGTCCCTCCATTTCTTGTACAAGATGCGCCACTGAATCCACCACAAAGATGCTCTAGTCAGCCTCCTCGCTGCCAGTCTTAGGTCACTCCTCGCCTCCTTGAGGAAGGCCACAGCCTCCTTCCAGCGCCGGCTTCACCCAGAAGATGGCAATGCCCAGCGCATGCGGCATCTCCTGGACTAGCTGGTCTGGCATGCCACGCATCTTGGGGCCCAGGATGTTCACTTCCGGCTCGTGGCTCCCCATCTTCTTCGCAGTTCGCACACTCCAGTGTGGAGGCTGTCGCTGACCATCGGCTCGATGACGCTCCGTCCACCCGCTCAAGATCTCCAGGAGCATCACGCTGTAGCTGTACATGTCGCTCTTCTCGGTGATGTTCAAGGTGTAGCCATACTTTGAAATGAAAGGCAAATGTCAAACCACTGTGCCATGAAACTGAAATCATCTTTTAGTTTATTTAGTACTTAGTAGAACAATAATTGTAGTTTGTACCTATCGCTGCACTTCAATATAATTACACAAATCAACACAGTGATGTGCTAGGCATTTGGAATCAACAGCATGAGGCCAACGTGCTTCAGCGAGAACAGTGTCAGTTACTACTTAGTCACCTGCTTAAACTACAAAATATCGACATGGTCATGGATGAAGAACCATGTTAAGCTTACTACAAGAAGCAACCACAGGTCAAAGATTCTTGCTTAGGTAACAGCACTACCCCAATAAGTCACGGAGCTGTAGGATCAACTGGTGAATGAATGTACTCTATCTGTCTACAGTTCTAAATGCTGAAGATAGTAAGAAACAGTACAAGATAAGAGGATATAAATGCACGTTAGTACAAGTTACTTGCCTGGAGCAGTGTGTACCCATAAGAACCAGCGATACGCGACATGGCATGATATAGTTGGGACTTGGGACAGTTCATTAGCTTGGCCAGCCGAAAATCAGCCAAGTATGCCTCATACTTCGAGTCGAGCAGTATGTTGTTGCACTTGACATCCCAGTGTAGTATCGCTGGAACGCAGCGCAGCGCTGCCCCGACAGATCTTGTACTGTGTATTCCCAGTCCAGGCTCCTTTTCTCGCTGAGGAGCTTCTGCAGATTACCATTAGGGACGTAGTTGTAGAGCAGGAGCTTGATGGACTTGTTTGAGTTGTATTTGTGAACTGTGGTTATATGTACAGAATAATATGGTTTCTGCTGTTGAAGTGTATTATCTAGAACTTAGAATCAGGATAACAATAGTATATGCCCACATCTCTTTATCAATCATGCCATTAACTTTTTGAATATACAGACTTCCTTTCCAACAATAATATATCCATGTTCAATCAGAATTTCTCAGTTATTTGCCAAATCTTCTGGTGCAGACTATGCTCCTGCTGACTTGTTCAGACAACAAGCTACAGTCAGAGTTGAACAGTGGCCAAGTTACACAACAATCCGTCAAAGCTGAACTCAGTTCCCGAAGACAAAATGTCAAGGTTCTAGTCTTTCAGGATCATAGGTGCACCGGATCTGCAAACCTGACCCGCGTCTTGCGCTGTGGTGTTCGCCACGAAGAACGCCATGGGGATCGGATGACTGCTATTCACTGCGGTCACCAACAGGTCTTCCTGAAGCTGTCACTATTTACCAAATATGAGGTGTCATATTAAGAAACCAGCAAATATTTCTCTGAATCAGGGGTGTAGCCAGAAAGAGAGGCTGAACTTTCCTCCAGATCTGCATCTGGAATATATGGAAACACCGGCATGGTGCGGCCATCCAGCGTTTCCAGCTCAGATGCTGCGGGGTGAAAGTCATCTGCAGCCAGCGGCTCAAGCCTCACTCAGAACTCCCACTTGTCCTCTGGCGGACTCGTGTTGCTTGAGTGTATTTCTGTCCCCAAATTTCCCCAATATTATTACCGCCTTTGAGTATACCCACTGTTTCCTGGGCAGCATGGTCTACGGGCACCCAGCAAAGGATCACAAGGAAATCGCCATGCTAACGTAAATGCTGATGGAAGTGAACTGATCGATGCTTGGCCGATGCATCTGCCTTGCCTTGAAGAATTGGCATCCAAACAGTAACTGTGCTCGAAAGGGGTAGAAGACTAAGCTGAGATCAGGCAACCTCTGCTGAATCTATCTTTAACAGGATAATCTGGGCTTACATCACTATGAAATCGGTGCACTGCAATATAATAAATAATTAGAAAAAACAGATAAGGTATCAGACATTCAAACTGTACAGAAAAAAAAGTGAGAAAAGGACCACACAGGAAGCTAGAAACTAGTAAGTATACTAAGCAAACTAACCCCATGGTTTTGGATTGCTAACCAATGTGGTCTGCAGATGGACACCTCAGGCTGCAGGTGGGACTGACCGTGGGCGTCCCACCAAAGTCTACTTAGTTCCACCAAGATTTAGTGGGTTATAACTAACAACCCAGTAAAATTAAGGTGGGTTAGTTGGGGTAAGTGGGATTCCACTAAACCAGGGGGTTCCGCTGGATTTCTCCCTCGCCCCACCCCACCCCACGCCAGAAGAGACATGCCTTCTTCCCCCAACGCTTCACTCCCTCGCCGACCCGCCCCATGACCGCAGCCACCACCAGCACTAGTATAGTAGCGCGTCGGGAGCAGGAGAGCTGGTCATAGCTGGCTGGCCATGGACCTGGGCAGGGTGCTGATGGCAGCCGCGGAGGCGGCAATGGGTGGGCGGCGGGGAGCTCAGCATGGTCAGATCTTGGCTGCTCAAGCACGGGAGGGACAATGCGGCGGCGGAGGCCGACGAGCATCAGCACGGCTGGGGCAGGCCTGGGTCGCGGCCGGCGACGACACCATGTTCAAGTCCGTCAAGGTGGCGGCACCGTACCTGCTCGGTACCTGCAGCCCCAGGCACGATCGGGAGAAGCTGTGAGGCAGGGGGGCAGGAGAGGTTGAGTGCAAGGCAGAAGAGGAGTGGATGTGGCGGCGGCGTCCATTGGCAGCGCCGGTGTGCGTCCATCGACGGCGGTGACGGGAGTGCCTCTGCTGCACGCCTGTTCCTTCTTCCTATGTGTGTCCACGAGAAGGAGAAAGAAGGGGCTGGTGGGGTCCCAATGGGGTAATAGAGATAGCCCATTTAATCTTTTTCCTTTCCAATGGGATCCCATTTAGGCAATTTGGGCTTGCTAGTCCCATTTAACCCCACTTCCACCTGCAGCCTGATGGACACCCATCTGATCCCGAGTTGCTAACATCTAATCCAATGTTTCATGTGAGTGGAGCATTGTTTATTTGAGTCTTCAAAACAGAGTAAGAACCCAACATAGACTGCTTCTTGCCGCCTCATCGTAAGGCAGACGGCTACAGAAGACCAGGTAATGATTCTCTAAATTAGTATACACATGAATACTAATAACCATCATTTATACAGAATTGGTGTAGTGCTAACAAAATAATGTCCGAGGACTAAGGATATAACCGTAGGGAATTACTAGTAAGAGGGAGTAGAACAGTTCAATGGGTATGCAAGGTTTAAATAGCTGATATGCTTCACATTATTCAGCGGAACACATATTGACAATAGAAGTTATATGCGGAGAGCAGTATATAACCAATCGATGCAACAGTAGCAGTATAGCCTTAATTAATAAAGGCAGGAAGCCAGGAAATAAGCAGTGAGTATGAAAGGACATAGGTTAGACCACAAAAGGTCTATAAACTGATAGCCTAAACATCAATACAATTATATTAACTCTGGCTAAATATGCATGTGCTAAGTGCTAAACTTAACAAGCACTGGGTCAAAAAGTTTCATAGTATCCCTGGAAAAAAATAAGTATCATTATTCTGCTAACTATGACCCTGAAATGGTAAATTTTACTCTATAACTGAGTGATCAGCAGACTGCAGATACTGTAGAGGCACGGCAACTACTCTGATTAGCCCAAGAAAGCAGGACTGGGACTTTTGATTTTGAGCACAGAATCTTGAAAACCTGCTAGAAAAAGCAATCAGGTTCAAAGAGAGACGAAGATCCCACAAATGGTTTTCAATTTCGTTGGTTGGTGGTGAGTAAAACTGTCGGAACTGGAACATAGTTAATTAGAGAGGACGATACAGAAACATAATTGTCGCGGAGCGGGCGGGTAGCCTGCTCCACCAATTCATCGCACACCAACTAAACTGAAAGTTCTAATGGAGTAATGAGGACAGGGAAACTAAACTAAACTAGATACTCTGGTCATAGTGTCAATTTGGAGCCATTAGAAGAAGGAAAAAAAGGCAAGAAATTGTTCAAGTCCCATTAGAAGATTATGATCATTTTCTGATAAACCAGCTAGGATTACGACCAAGTATAGCAGTGCAAACACCTAGATAGAACCGACCAATGCAGATTATGTGTGCACATATCAGATTATGCCTTTTCATATAGAACATAATATTCTAATAGAGATGCCAGGTACATGTCAAAATAGAACACACTAAAGTCTCATACAGCTCTACTTGCACATGAAATGGCATAGTCAACATACTACAACTCGTACCAACATGTCCATAAGGGAAACATGCAGCCAGAGACAGGCCTAGATATGAAAATGAGTACAGAACTACAGATCAAACTGAAAACTGAAGTTGGTGTTTTCAAAAACAACATCTCTATTTGAAAACCTTTGTGAAGAATACTCTCGCAACAGAGCACCTCACCGATGACTGTCGAACTTTTAATCAGCAGAACATTCATCAATTTGGAGTTGCCAACCGCATTCCTCCATCCAGTGGTAGGCGGGAAAACAAGGGCACATAAGAGAAAAAAGGCCTAAACTTCTGGTAGTTAGGCTCAACGTGATATACAACTGTGCTCTCATGATGATCCAGATCGTATGCAATCAGTTCATTGTTCCAATGAGCTATAAAGAAGATTATGTTGGCATGTGGATGTACTCCAATGACTTCAAGGTCGAAGCCGAGCTGAAACAACACATTTGGAGCTACATTTGAAAGCTTACGCAACAATTTCCAATGCATGCATTTGTCATCCAGGTGAGTCCCATCCCACTTATAGATCTCAGCACCAAGAACGTAAACTGATATAGTCGAAAATGTGCTTGATTCATGTCCTTCAGTATCGTCGGAATCGATATAAAATAGCTGCCTTGCAGACTTTCCGATGAAACCCGCGAAACTCGGATCAACTGATATTGGCAGTGGAATGATTCTCCATCTTAACCCTTGTGCATCAACTATTGCCAACCCACGCTGACGTATGAGCAAGTGCAGACACCCCTTGTGGAAAACTCCGGGTTGACCCCAGCACAGGCTAACTTCGCTGTCCCATTGGCTTTTCATCGATGCCCACACACCAGATTTTGAAGAGTAAATGTTCACTCCTCTCACAGCCAGGGATTGGGATTGTTCCAGCACAAATTCAAACAGATGAAACTCTTGAGTGGACACTTCACCGTCGAAACCCAGGTAAGCGCGACAGCAGTCGCCGGCGTAGCCAGAGTGAGGCAGCACAACATACTCACATGTAGCTGGATTGGAGACCATGTAGCGAGATGTCCCAGCAGGGGTGCCCGTGCGGATGCTTGTGAGAAACAACCCATCGCATGAATCCTCGAGGGAGACGAAGGAGTCTGTGCTGTCGGGCGGCAGCGGCAGGCGCGGGTAGGCCTCGGCGACGCTCGCCCAAGGGAAGGCGGACAGGTCGGCGTAGTTGACGGCGTGGCCGGGGGGCTCGGCGGAGTCGGCCGTGATGCGGTAGAAGAATCCGGCCAGGGTCTGCGCCATCTTCTTCCGGTTGGCGGGGTCGGCGATGATGCCGCGCCAGGCCGGGCAGACGCACTTGCATATGCAGAGAGATTTGTAGGGCACGCGAGAGAGGATCTCCGCGATTAGGTCATTGGTGAGCTTGGACATCGGCTCATCCATGCCGTGTGTCCGCCGCGAGCGCAGGCTATGGTTCTCCGACGGGGTGGCGGCTGGAATTGGTAGGGTTGCGGCGAGAGATGGCCGGCGGCGGCAGGGTGCCTTCAGGATTTGGGGACTCGGAGTGGGGAATGAGGTGGTGATGGGGCGGGGCAGAGCTGGTCAAACGGGCCAGCACGGCCCGGCTCGTCGTAATTGTGTGTCTGGCACGATTATTAGACGGGCTGTTCCGTGCCGGCCCGAGTGCTGCAGCCTGCAGCCCAGGCACGACCGAGGCCGGCATGCCAAGCCAGGCCCGTTTGGCCAACTTTGGATAGTGGGGGCGCCACATTTGGTACTTGCCATACAAAGTTGTGTATATATTTCGATTTCTTATTAAATTTCTCGCACTTGGTATTCATCGGTTGCCGGAAATTCTAATATGTGTAAGTCGGTTTTGGACAAAGCATCAAGGTAGAGAATAGAAGGCAGGCGGCAAGCACATCAGAGAGTCCAAGCGACGATCTACGGCCTTCTACAGCATGACGGGCAGTGGATCTCATGTCCGACAACTTTGAACTCATCGACTTGGACCTCGTCCCATGCGGGACGAGGAGGAGCTATCCATTCGACTGGCGCTTCGCCAGTCCCATGAAGAAACCTAGCTCTATAGTCGAAGTCGCTCCGACAAGAATTCATTGCATCCGCACAAGTGCCACTTGCATCTGTCACACACCGACGGCTTGAGGCTCATGACTGCGACAGAGCCAGGGATGGCGAGCATCAGCTGGAGGTACAGTCGCGCCCAATCGGGTGGCCCTAGGCCAAGGGCGCAACCCTTCAGTGGAGCCTCGTCTCCTGCGACTTCAGGCTCAGAGTCCGAGGTCAATGCCACCAGACGACGCGACCACGTAAAGTAGAGGACCTACATGCATGTAGTGCAGGAGAGAAGGCACGACACACCGCAAAGGCCGAGTCGCACGCCGCGTTGACCAAGGATGCCCTCTATCGACTACAGAAGGGATAATCAACGCCCTCGCATGTCAGCTACTTCCAACGGTGCCGAGATTGTTAACTGGACTACAATCATAGGAAGGACACCGGATCATCGAATCTGAGCTGAGTTTTATTACGTACAGTGTGAACTTGCCCAAGTGATCATGAAGGAGGTCCTCGAACTAACAGGGATGTTCTACCATGGGACAATCACGCGGGATGATTTCCAAGCACTGCTAGTCGCTCAGCGTCTAGACCTGAAGCCGTTCAACAAGCTCGGGTGTTTCCTCCCTGACTATGAAGATTGGTCCACCGACCTGGAGGAATGGTTGACGATGACAAGGTGTCACTACTGTCTTTCTATGGAAAAACTTTGAATTTATGCACGGCGAAACTCTGCGATGTAATTAAATTGTCCTCCTGAACTAGCGTAGATCACTCTAGTTAATTAGTTTGGGTATGAGGAACTTCGTTATTTATGTTTACTATAGGTTGTTTGTATTTTGCTAATTATGCTTCTTTGTGTTTCTCAAGTACATTATGTTGCATATTATCGTTGAATTCATCAACTAACGATGCAAGTACATAGATCAGAGATGGCGAAGTGTAAGTGCATCTAATGCCCCTTAGTGATTTTGGTGTATTGAAGACTTATAGGTTAAGGGACTAATGTGTTTATGAGTGTACACATGTCTATAAGTCTATGAGGAGTTTGATATTTACAGAGAAAGTCGACCCCTAAAAATGAATATCTTCGACTGAAGATTTTGGTATTCCTGAAGACTTTCATGAAGACTTTGAAAGTGAAGAAATTGGTGTGTTCGTGAAGACTTGATATTCGTGCAAGGAATACGAAGCTTGAAGACTTTCGTTTTCATAGTTTTGTTTTTCTCTTTCTTGAGTCATAGGAAACACCGTACTGTTAAAGGGGGTCGAGGAAATACTAAGGAAAAATTTCCATGTGATGCTCAACTCAAAATCCTACACCTACCAATCCCTTCGAGTGAAGCCATTGGAAATCTCATACAGTTCAGTCAATTTCTTCAGTGACAGAGACGAAGTTCTTCTGGTCGTTGAGGAATTTGTTCTGACTGAGGAGTTAGGAATTCGCCAGTGCGGATTGCCTACACTGTGAGGAACATGATAGCCCTGAGGAATTTGAGAGTCAAATTTCGACCGTTGATGTGCTGCGCGCCAGCTGTCCCAAAATATCTTATCCACCTGACGGTCATATCATTGAAGGGCATTTATGTCTTATCATGTCGGGCTGCTCCCTAGGCTATAAATAGCCGCCCCCTACAACCACTAGCTGGTTGGCTGCTCCGAGAGAAACTGACACTTGTCATTTGAGAGCAACCCATCCTCCGAGGACTTTGAGCGAAAATCATCGAGTGAGGAAAATCCCAAACCCCAAACACCCACAAACCCAAAGTGATTGAGCATCACCGAAGAGATTGATCCTGCGTGGATCCGACGGTTGCTACCTTTAAGACTGTGCTTCTTGCAGACGGTTAGGCGTCATGGTCTAGAGCATCCAAGAGGAATTGTGGATTGCCGAGTGACCGAAGTCTGTGAAGGTTTGGAAGTCGCCTGAAGACTTACCACGAGTGATTGGTTGAGGTCTGTGTGACCTTAGTTCAAGGAGAATATGGTGAGGACTTGGTGTCCTGAGCTGTGTGCTCAGCGACTGGGTGTTCGGGACTGTGTGTCCTCGAGTTTAAATACTCAGCCGCTCCAACCAGACGTACAACTGAGACAGCAGTTGGAACTGGTCTACCAAATCATTGTCTTCACCAACCTTACTGGTTCTATTTCCTCAACTCTTTCATTTCCTCATTACTGTGTTGAGTGATTGTTCATATCTGTGTTTGAAGACTTTGACTGAAGACTTTCTCAATCTCCTTAGTTCAATTTCTTCACTCTGTTTGTCTTCATCTTGTGTTATCCTGTGTTTACGCTTTCTGTACTCTGTGTTTGTTATCATTTCATCATGATGACCATGTGTGTATTCTGTCATGCTTACTTTTGAGTACTTATTCCGCTGCAAGTAGTTCTTTGCTAAGGAATTTCCTCACCGACAAATTCCTCAGTGAAGAATTCATAAAAATCGCCTATTCACCCCCCTCTAGTCGATATAACGCACTTTCAATTGGTATCAGAGCAAGGTACTCTCTTGTTTTGTGTGATTTTGGTTTAACCACCTGGAGTTCTAGTTATGTCGACTGCAGGATCGAGGAACGTTTCCTGCCCCATCTTTGACGGTCATGAGTATCCTCGGTGGAAGGCCATGATGAAAAAGTGACTCATGGCTATGGACAGCGAACTGTGGACCGTCATCGAGATCGGTCTTACCGATCTATGCAAGATGGCTGAGGCTGATGACATTCACAAGTACACACTGCTTAACCTCACAGCGAAGGATGTCATCTGCTCTAGTCTGTCCCAGAATCAGTTCAGGAACGTCATGCATCTCAGTCACGCGAAGCTAATCTGGACCGTCTCTTTGAGGTCTATGAAGGTCATCAGACTCGTCATGATCCTTGGTTTGAGGATTACAAGGAATCTCTCAATGCGATGACATTCAAACCAGAATCATCATCGTCTACCCCCTGCCTTATGGCAAACAGTGCTGAGGTAACCGAATCCTACCTATCCAAATCTAGTGATGATGAATCTGGCGATGAATTTGGACCTAGCTATGTCAAACTTGCTTCCCTTGCCACTAAACAACAAAGAGCCTTGGAAAAAGTTCAATACATGCTAAATAAGAGCGATGATATGTTGGGTGAAGAAATGGATCAGTCAAAAGCCTTGGCAGAAAGTCTTCAGGGACTCCATTCCAAGTTTGACGACCTTCAAGGTCATCATAACGCTCTCTTATCTGATCACGAGAAGCTTTCTCTTGAACTTCTTCAAAGAAAGCAAGATCTTGAGAAGCTAAGAGTGAGTTATGAAGATCTTCAGAAGGAGCGCGATTCATTACTTGCTCAACAAATCAGCGCTACTGAGGAAGAATTTGACCCTCCATGCTTAAAGTGCATTGAACATGAATCTGCTAATTCTTCACCTGAATGTTCAAATGCGTCAACTGTTACAAATTCTTCACCTGCCTCTGCTATCACTAATTCCTCATCTGAGGACATTGCTAGTATCACTAACGATGCAGGGCTAAAGGAATTGTATATGACAGGCATGTACAAAAGCCTCAAAGGGCATCATACTCTTTGTGATGTGCTTAAAAAGCAGATCCTCAACAGAAACCCTAGGAAAGAGGGTATTGCCTTTGAGAGGAAACTCAATGCTGATGGAACATATTGGAAGCCTGAGCAGTACCCCAAAACCTCATGGGTTGCTGCAAAGGGACCTCCAGTTGATCCATCTAACTTATCTGGCTTTACATGTGAATCTCCTCATTCTTCTGATGAGTCATTTGACTCCAACTATAAACTGTTCAAAAATCAGAATGGTGAAGTATTTGCTAGATATGTTGGCACTAACTGCAGGAACGGTTCCCCTATGAAGAAAATCTGGGTTCCCAAAAGTTATGTTGAAAGTCTTTAGGTGAATGTCCTCACGACACCACCAGTGGAGAATAGGAACCCCAGATCAAACTCTTCATATGGACCAAATTCTTCATATGGATCCAAGTCCTCATACGGACAAAATTCCTCACGTAGATCAAATTCCTCAAATGGATCAAAGTCCTCATATGAACATCATCGTGCTAACAACTCTGTTTCGCAGGGTAGAGCTAAGGGCTATGAATATGAGCATTATTTTTCAAATCATTATGTTCATAAGTCCTCGAAGAATTTCTCTGCTTATTCATATGCTTACCCTAACCCCTCTTATGTGAAGCAAAGTGGACTAGCTTCTATGCCACCTTTCTCATATAGTGCTCGCAGAGTGATGAATTCTTTGCCA